ATCTAATAAAGTGATGATGTAACACTGTAATTGCCTAAAAAACTGAGATTAAGTAAGGTAAGAAGAATTTTGATGTGCTGCATCTATCCCTCATTTGCCACGTATTCAGAATAGCCTTCTGGCTCTTCCAACTCAGAGAGTTACTGGGGCTTCTGAGTGTTTTCCTGAGCTCCTCCCCCTACAGGTCCATCTCATGGACATAAGAAGACTCCACACTTCCCAGAGATCAGAGAAACTAATACATCATCTCCTCAACTGTCTAACTGGTGATAAATATCAGGCATTTGAATTTGACCTTTTAAAGTCTCCAAATGAGGGCTGAGCCGAAAACGATTTGGGGAGTCATTTAGAGAGAGAACTAAGAATGTATTGACTGTGACTTAACGGCCCAATGTTTGAGCCACTTCTGTAATAAAGCAAAAGAGAGTAAAAGTGACTGGTGATTTCTATTTGAAGACAATGTGTGGCCATTCTTTAACATTGAAAATATCCCCCAAAACATATTTTGAAAATGTGGTACAAAAAGAAAAATTTCTCATTATCTCAGTAATCACCTCTGGTTCTACGCTAATGAGGTAGCATATAATTCTGCTTCTTTTCTCAGCCACAGTAAAGTAAAAAGTCTCTATCAGCAAGCCTATGCATTATATGTAACCCATTTAATGAATCACAGGATAGTTTGGTCTTATTAGTAGCTTACTATAAGAGTACCAATTGACAAAATATGAGGGACAAAAAAACTTGATTTAACAAGTTTCACCATGGAATGGAAGACAACACAATTCAAGGACCAAGATGGCATTGTTAACTTTGGAAAGAATAGAATCAACAATAGAACCAACCGGGAAGATTTTTAAAATGGCAATGCCTGGCCTCTTTCCAAGACGATATTCTGATTCAATGATCTCAGAAGGGTCTTGTCCTGGAAAACATTTTTGATGCTTCTTCAAAGATTCTAGTGAATATCCAGGTTTGAGAACAATTGGGACAGGAGGCATGAGGAAGTATTAAGATTTTTAAACACCAGAATTAGACAGGTGAATGTTTCAGGCAGTTTTTATTATTAACGAATAAAAGAAACAGATCATTCCTACTATCTGTGATAAAAAATAAATGGTGGTTATGGTGGAAATAGGAACAATTACCTTGCTCACTTAGGAAAAAATTGGAAGATAATTTCACCATTGTAATTAAAGGCAAGGGACTGAATCCCTGTGGACTAAGAAATTTAACTAGGAAAAAAACCCCTAGAAATGTAAGCCTTTTCAATTTACTCAGTCAGTATTATTGTATCTTCTTGGAAGCACCAGAAGGTAAGATTGGAAGAAGAAATTTTAATCACAAAAATTCTAGGACCTTTTTGGTTTCAATGAGGCAGAAATGGGTGAAAACCTGTACTTTTTCAGAGACTTCCAAAGCAAAATATAATTTTATATTAACTTGGCATGAATTAATTCATCCCAAATTTAAAACTTGAATAACATTAAACTTGACTAGGTCCTGAGCTTTTTAAAAGGATACTAAGTGAATGTAAGGCATTGTTATGATTTGGTTGTTCTGTAATGTATGCCACTTGAAAAATCACTTAGAGAATCTCTTCATGGATCTCGCACTATACTTCAACACTTTTTTCCCCTAAGAACCCCATATTCAACTCTGCATAAAGCATAGTTCTGTTTGATTAAAATGTTACTTTAAAAATGGAAGCCATAGACTTTGCCTTTCAGAGACCTATACTCTAGTTGAGAGAATAAGTATTTACTCAAAATAATAGGTGGCAAGTAAAGATGGAAATCGAATCAATGTATTTGTCATGGGTTGAACTGTGTCCCCCTCAAATTTGTATGGTGAAGTCCTAAACTCTAGTACCTCAGAATGTGATCTTAGTTGGGGATCTGGTTCTCACAGAGGCAATCAACTTAAAATGAGGTCATTAGGGTAGGCTCTAATCCAAATAATTAGTGTCCTAATAAAAAGAGGAAATTTGGAGACAGACGTGAACACAGGGAGAATGCCATGTGAAGTTGAAGAAAGAGATGAAGGTTACACTCTTACAAGTTAAAGAATACCAAAGATTGCCAACAAACACCCAGAAGCAGGTGAGAGGCATGGGATTCATTCTTTCTTACAGCCCTCCGGAGGAACCAACTCTGCTTACACCTTGATGTGAATCTTCTAGCCTTCAGAACCAGGAGAAAATAAATTTTTTTCTTTCCTCCACCCAATTTGTGGTCTCATGTTCTGGCAGCCCTCAAAAACCAATATTATATGATTAAATACCAAAATCATGATAATGATAATGATTAAGATGGTTGAAACTTATTTTTTGAGATATACTTTGGATCAAGCTTTGTGCTGAGTGATTTACAAAAGTTATCTTTTGTAATCTTTACGACAAATCTAAGAGATACATATTAGTCTCACTATAGAAATTTTTATAAACAGAAGAAGAGAAGGCCAGATGATATCATGATTGGCAGTAGAGTGATAATTCAAACCTACGCATGTCTGATCCCAAAATACACGTCCCTGTTCAATGCTCTGCACTGCTTTTGGTAGAGCAGTAGAAAAGGCCACATGACTGAGTTTAGTGAATGGGGAGAATTTTATCTATTAAAATGAAACAAAGCTCATGAGGATGATGAACTTGTTCTAGAGCTTGAATGAAGGAATGAACCCAAAATATTGAGGTGGCTTGAAGAACAAGGTGTATTCTTTTTTTTTTTTTTTTTTTGAGGAAGATTAGCCCTGAGCTAACATCTGCTGCCAATCCTCCTCTTTTTGCTGAGGAAGACTGGCTCTGAGCTAACATCTGTGCCCATCTTCCTCTACTTTACATGTGAGATGCCTACCACAGCATGGCTTGCCAAGCGGTGCCATGTCCGCACCCGGGATCCCAAAGGGTGAACCCCAGGCCGTCAACACAGAACATGCGAACTTAACTGCTGCGCCACCGGGCCGGCCCCCAAAGTGTATTCTTGATGAGGGAAGTTACCAGAGCCAAGACCTCACATCGGAAAACATCATGGAGTATTTAGGATGAAAGAGTAGGATTGTCAGTGTTTGTGTTGAAAAACTATGAGGAGAAACCTCTTGAGAGGGAGGATGTAACCTCCTGTGCAGTGTCCTGAACCTCAAAATAAGTAGTCGCCGTTTGTTTATCTGACAATTTGGAAGATTCTGGAGGCTTTTGAGGAAAGTGACATAACTCAGTGGTACTAAAAAAAGTAATTAAAGAATATTGTATCCAGAGAATGGGAAGTAAAGGATTTACTTTACTGGACATTGGATGAGGTTACCGGGAAAGGTAGAGGAAATTTTCAGAGGTAGGCAGTGTGTCTTTCTAATAGATACTAGCCATTCTCTATATGGGATACTGTGAGCAGGTCCTCTTTGAAAGCAGGAATATGGACTATATCAGTAGTTCTCAAACACTAGATAGCATCCATATCACCTGGAGATTTGTGAAAACATATTCTTGGGTCCAACCCCCACAGTTTCTGATTAAGTAGGTCTGGGGTGATGCCTTGGAACTCACATTTCCAACAAATTCCCAGGCGTTGATTTTCCCTGGTTAGGGGATAACACTGTGAGAACCACTGGACTAGGTGAGTGCTTTCTCTCCATTTTAGGATTATGCTCTACTTAACCTGCTGTGGGCTTTTTGCTGTGTTCTGCAGGAAGACAGTGTTGCTGGGTTTATAACTCTTCTTTTAATGATAAAAGGAATCATGTCTGCAGTTGGCTGGTTTCCTCTTTGTTGGTGCTACAGCAACATGAAAAGGCATCTCTGTCCAGTTTGCTTTGTGTGAATCCTTGCATTAACAATTCCATTTTTTCCCTAGTTAAAAGCTGGCCGTGGCTCACTCTTACACTGATAGAAATATACTAGAACATTTGTCTGTTTGTTTTGCCCAATTTGGTACTGATTTAGAAAATTCTGGGGCCAGCCCAGTGGCACAGCAGTTAAGTGCGCACATTCTGCTTTGACAGCCCAGGGTTCACTGGTTTGGATCCCGGGTGCAGATATGGCACTGCTCATCAGCCATGCTGTGGTAGGCGTCCCACACATAAAGTAGAGGAAGACGGGCACGGATGTTAGCTCAGGGCCAATGTTCCTCAGCAAAAAGAGGACGATTGGTGGCAGATGTTAGCTCAGGGCTAATCTTCCTTAAAAAAAAAAAAAGAAAGAAAGAAACAAAAGAGAAAATTCTGCTGAAGCATGGGATATGGATTTGGGTAGCTTCCTACATCTTAAAGTTTCTTCATTTTATATGTGAAAAGAAAACTCAAGATACTGCTCTCCTAAACTGAAAGATAAATGATAATTTAGTTTTTTTACTGTCATTTATGATTAAATCACCTAAAACAGAAGTAGGAATTACATGTAATTATTTAACGATTATTCTGAACTGGAGGTTCATCATCTATATTATTGTATCAGTAGTAGCCCCTTTGGTCTCTAACTTTGGCGCACAAATGAAATTATATAAATGCATGTGTCAATATCTCTCAGAAACAACAGATAATTAGTTATAATTGTTACTTTACTATATAGGCAATGCCGTTCAAAATGCTATTCCTCTGTTACAGAATTTGCTACATAGTGACATATGACAAATTTATAAATGTACTCCTATCTAATACTAGATTATATGGTTGTTGAAGAATCAGATGCTCTGCCCAGACATTGTGGAAAGCATTTGGTATCTCGTTTAACAACCACAACAATTCAATTAAAAAGTTATTTCTCTTTTGTAAAGGAAGTAAATTGAAGCACATAGAAATAACTTGTCAGAGGATATGCGAGTTTGTAGTGGTGAAGCAGGAGTGTCGTTAATGCTACCTGACTGCAACATCTCTACTTATTCCTTTACACAGTCCTGACCATGTCATGCATGTTAATACCAGAGCACAACACATAGAGTAGACAATAAATAAATAACCAAATGTTTAACTTTTGTAACTTCTTGTGGTTCTAGATAATGAAAATATCCATCATGGAATGGGAGAACCAGACATCTAGCTCTGACTTCATCCTGACGGGAATCTTCAGTCACACTCCCACTCACATGTTCCTGTTCTCTCTGGTCCTGGGTATCTTCACAGTGGCACTCTTGGCAAACACTATCATGGTTCTCCTCATCTATCTGGATACCCGGCTCCACAACCCCATGTACTTGCTCCTCAGCCAACTCTCCCTCATGGACCTCATGCTCATCTGCACCACTGTACCCAAAATGGCCTACAACTACTTGTCTGGTAGGAAGTCCATTTCTGTAGCAGGATGTGAAGCCCAGATATTCTTCTATGTGTCCCTCTTTGGTGCTGAATGCTTCTTATTGGCTGTCATGGCCTATGACCGCTATGTTGCCATTTGCTACCCTCTTCAGTACCACAATCTCATGAACTGGAAAATCTGTGGAGTCATGGTTGCCTCTTCATGGATCCTTGGTTCCTTTGATGGGATTGTTGATGTAGCCGCTACTTTGTCCTTTTCATATTGTGGCTCCCGAAAAATACCCCAGTTTTTCTGTGATGTGTCTGCGCTCCTAAGTCTCTCATGCACTGATACTTCCACATTTAAAACACTTGCTTTTATCTGTTGTGTATTAATGCTTCTTTTCCCGTTATTACTCATCATTGTCTCCTACACTCATGTAATTGTGGCTGTCATTCGCATGAGTTCTCAGGAGGGTCGGCACAAGGCTTTCACGACCTGTACTTCACACCTTCTTGTTGTCGGAATGTATTATGGAGCAGCTATGTTCATATACATGCGGCCCACTTCTAATCGTTCCCCAACCCAGGACAAGATGGTGTCATCCTTCTACACCATTCTCACCCCCATGCTGAATCCCCTTATCTACAGCTTCCGCAACAATGACGTGGCCAAAGCATTCAGTAAGGTACTAGGGAAGGGGAAACCTAGAAAATTATTTGGATAATGATCAACAAGGGCTTTTCCTCTCATAATTCCTCTCTCTCAATCTGATACATTCATTTATTTAAAAACCTGTTTTAGTAACATATATAAACCACTTTCATAAGGTATTTATACGCAGCAGAGTTGATAGACTCTGTGTACACATGCAATCAACTGACATATTTTGAATTTATTGCATTTATTTTGGTTTTAAGAATAAGTCAAAGTTCTTGAAAAGTAAAAAATTAAGTTAGTAAACATATATATCTTAGTTACAGAACTAAATAAGAAATAAAACTGCATTAAATGTTTTCCCTTATTTTGAAAGCCCAGGTCTGATTAAACTGCTTATATTCTGTCTTATGTACTGAGTTAACTAGTACACTTGCCTAATTAAGTTTGTTATTAGTTCTTTCAAAATAAATAGCCAAAACAGGAAGTCACAGATATTTCCTCACTTACCAAAAAGCTTAACTTACAATGAATGCTACTTATGTTTGCAGAGAAAGGAGGGGTTTTTTTTCCTAAGTGTTTGACTTTCTTGACACACTGAGCATTTCTATGTTTGCAGGTTGTCTTTTGATGTCAAATCTGAAAACTCATCACCAAGATCAGTGTCAAGGAGCTTACTGCCTGTGTTTTCTCCTAGGAGTTTTATAATTTTAGATCTTTCATTCCAGTCTTTAATCCATTTTGAGTGATTTTTGGGTATGGTGTAAGATGGTGGTCCAGTTTCATTCTTTTGCATGTAGCTACCCAGTTTTCCCAACAGCCTTTATTGAAGAGACTCTTTTCTCCATTGTATATTCTTGGCTCCTTTGTCATAAATTAATTGACCCTATATGCCTGAGTTCATTTCTGGGCTCTGTATTCTGTTCCATTGATCTAGGTGTCTGCTTTTATGTCATACTGTACTGTTTTGATTACTATAGCTTTGTAATATAGTTTAAAATCAGTAAGTATGATGCCTCTAGCTTTGTTCTTCTTTCTCAACATTCCTTTGTCCTTTCAGGGTCTTTTGTGGTTACATACAAATTTTAGGATTGTTTTCTATATTTCTTTGAAAGGTGCCATTTCAGTTTTGATAGGGATTGCATTGATAGTAGATTGCTTTGGATAGTATTGAGATTTGAACAATTTTAATTCTTCCAGTCTATGAGCACAGAATAGCTTTCTATTTATCTGTGTCTTCAGTTTCTTTCATCCATGTCTTATAGTTTTCAGTGTACTTATCTTTTACCTTGGTTCAGTTTATTCCTAAGTATTTTATTCTTTTTATTGCAATTGTAAATAGGATTGTTTTCTTAATTTATCTTCTGAGAGTTTGTTATTAGTGTATAAGAAATGCAACAGATTTCTGTATATTGATTTTGTGTCCTACAACTTTACCAAATTCACTTATTAGCTCTAACAGTTTTTTGGTGGAGTCTTCATGGTTTTCTATATATAATATCATGTAATCTGCAAATAGTGACAGTTTTACTCCTTCTTTCCAATTTGGATAGCTTTTATTTCTTTTTTCTGTCTAATTGCTCTGGCTAGGACTTCCAATACTATGTTGAATATAAGTGGCAAAAGGACATCCTAGTCCTGTTCCTGATCTTAGAGGAAAAGCCTTCAGGTTTTTATGTTGATTATGATGTTAGCTGTGGGCTTGTCATATTTGGCCTTTTATGATGATGAGGTACATTCCCTCTATACTGACTTTGGTGAGAGTTTTTAATCATAAATGAATGTTGAGTTTTGTCAAATGCTTTTCCTGCATCTATTGAGATATCATATGATTATATCCTTCATTTTGTTAATGTGGCATATCACATTGTTTGGTCTGAAGGTGTTGAATGATGCTTACATAGCTGGAATAAATCTCGCTTGATCTTGGTGTATGATCTTTTAATGTATTGTTGAATTCTGTTACCAATTTTTTTTGACAAAAATATAATTCTTGACCAGAGAGGTTTTTTTAAATGACTTTGTAGTTCACAGGTGATTAAATTTTTAAAACTTTCTTCCTTCTTACTTCTGCCATTCTCTCTCGCTTTTTTAGTACATATTTCTCATATATGCTGATATGTATTAATGCTGATATATGCTGATATGCAATCAACGGAAAAAGTACCATAATTTTAGTTTCTTATGTTGAGTTCATGGAAGTTATCTTTGCTTAGGAAACAATATCATAAATAATTAATTACTGCTTATATGTTAATTGGCTACTACAGCCTGTAGATTTAGTTGATGTGACCATGGTATTATCATGTTCTTAGGTATTTTGAAGATCATAGAAATATTGGGAACTTTGTATCCACATAAGCAAAGGTGGGAATTTTGTGCCTCCAAGGTGCTGAGTGAGCTATGTGTGTTTGAATGGAAGATGGCCAGGCTGCATATGCTGAAGTAACCTAGTACTGTGAAAGACCTATTGGATTCCGTTCCTTAAGAAAGATAAGAAAAGTGGCATAAGAGGATGGTGGCCCTATTCATCTCACATCTAATCTGATATCATAGTATCTAACATTATTTGAGTGTATCTGGTACATATTACAGTGGTGAGTGATGAACTGTACAAAGTCATTGAGCACACTTCATTATGAGAAAAGACAACGGGCCTCAAGGAAATGTCATTAAGTGTGTCCTAATCAGTTTCAGGACCTACTGCTTCATCCTCATCAAAGAACCACACTTAATGACACTGAAGGTCCTAATTGCACATCTAATTTATCTCACAACATGTGGATACTCTGCCAGATTTGGGCAATTGAAGCTATAAGGAATAAGCTGAGGGTTACCAATGTTCCACTGATAACCTGTGTGGAGTCCAATACTCTTGTTGATCACAGACTCAGGTATTAAACACATCCAGGTTTACAAGAGAAAGGAAGAAAGTTGGGAGAATATTGGCATCTATAGTAGCTCGGTTCTGCTCAGCTATACCTTTCCCTGCTTCACTCCCTGGACAGGAATGCTAGTACTAATGGATCAAGTATAAAAATACAAACAATGCTATTGGGAGAGGATACAGATCTTTAGGTATGAATGAACAAAGGGTTAAATATCTGCTTTTCAATATAATTAGTGAATGACAACAGGTGAAGCCAAGAAATAGTTGCCTCTAGAAAAGATGTTAGTTGGACAGGTTAGTCCAGTCATGGCTCTAAATTATCAGGGAACACTTTTGCTTTCCTTCCATTCTGGTTTGGCGGGGTTCTTCACCATGGGAGGTAAATGTATAGGGTTGAAGTTTGTATGTGAACATACGCAGGAAATTGCAGAAAGACCCCTCAGCCAACTATTGTGTTGTATGACAGTTCTATAGTCATACTGTCTAGCCCGTCTCTACAAGAATTAAATTGAGATGGGGAGGGGGGTCTGGAAAATGAAAATCATAAATCAGTATTTACTTGAGAATGGATCTGAATACCTTTCTTCTGAGCCTCTCTTTTTTGAGAAAGTGGTGGTGGTAGGCCTTGCTCTGTTCATTTATGATCTTTAGTATTGGGATAAATGTCTCCACTGAGGTTAAACAAAGATGCAAAATTTTCGGATTCTCAGACTGCATTCAGCTAACTTATAATCTTAAAGTAAAATATTTCACTATGTTACTTTAACATAGTAAAGCTGAAAAGGACCTCTATACCCAACCAGGAATCCAGAGTAGTTATTGAGGTCCAGAGATATGAAATGATTTTATCAAGGTCACAAATTTTTGCATTGTACAGACTCACCAAAGAGAGTTTAAAAATTTTAGAAAACTTAAGACAGCAAATATTCTAACACACTCTAACATAAATAAATTTGATGGTAACTATCATGTTCACTTCATTTCTAGTCCAATGTAATAGTTCTTATAGGTTTATATTTGAACTTGTAAATTTTACCAGTCTTTTCAAAAAGACTTTGTGGTGTCATCTCTAAATATATTGTTCACAATGAGATTGGTAACATATATGATAAGTCTTCTAAATCTCAACATATCTGGAAGTCAAGTTATAATCTAAAATTTACTCTGAGTTTTTTGACTCTATTGTTCTTTGACATTTGTTGGAGTGATTACCATCTCACACTAGTGATTTCTGGAAACTAGAGTCTCTTTGCTCTAAGCTCAGTAGAGAAGTATTATTAGAAAAGTAGTGTTCAGGGATTCATTTTATGAGGTATGTTGTGTTGAAAAGCTTGAATGAGCATGGCAAAGTTGAAGACCCAGGGAGTCTAGTTAAAAACTGCCCAATTGGAAAAGTATAAAACCTAATGTGGTTTTAGGGATATATAGACAAAGTACCAACTAGGGAAAGATGGAAATTGTCATGATTAGCAAACTCAAAAGGACAAAGCTGTTTGGTTACTTTGGTGATGGCTGACAGAGAAAGAAATCTAATAATGGTAAATAGGCATCCATCAAAATGATGTGAAAGCCAGTTAACGTATAACCATTTCATGCTAATTAATACAATTAGTGGATCATGTGCTGGACCTGTTGTGACATAAATATCTCCTATATGCCAAATCTAACTGTTTAAAGTCATATTGCTACAAATTTATGTAGATTATAAATAATATGGTCAAATTCATATATGTTACCTCTGAGACGCACTTCAGAATTAAATACACACATAAGTTGAAAGTGAAAGGATGGAAAAAGAAATTTCATGCAAATAGAAACCAAGAAGTAGCAGATGTAGCCATGCTTATATCAAAGAAAACAAACTTTAAGTCAAAATCTATCATAAGAGATAAAGAAGGTCATTGTACAATGATAAAGGAGTTAATTCACCAAAGGATAAAACAACTGTAAATACATCCAACTTTTCAGCACCTAAATTTATAAAACAAATATTAACAGATCAGGAGGGACAAATACACAACAATGCAACAATAGTGGGGGACTTCAATACTCAACTTTCAACAATATATAGATCATCCAATAAAAAATCAACAAGGAAACCTTGGAATTGAACCAAGCATTAGACTATATGGACTTAACAGAGTTATATAGAACACCCCATCCAACAGAAGCAGAATACA